TCCCAACTCGAAGGCCTTAGGTTTCTAAAGCATGCGTTGCACTCTTTTCCTTCGATCGGTTTTTATCCTAAGAAGGGTTTTACCGGCAAGGTTTTCAATGAGGCAACATCTATATGCTACCTAAGGAAAACTCAACAAGTATTCAAGGCTTCTCTTGCAATCAACCTCGAATACTGGGGGGCATCCCCCCGGAAGATCACCTCCTCGGAGAAGCTAAGATATGCTGAACAGGGTCTCGATAAGAAAAACAATGTACCGGGCCAAACGGTCAAACGAACTGTGCCCGTATAGAATAACTGAGCCCTCAATAGCAAAGACATGTATACTTGTACCAAGCAATCAATGAATACTCTCAAAAACCATTTCGCGTTTCAAAGAAGCTTGGTATTTTTGCAAAAACAGCTCCTCTGTCAAAAACGTCCCGAACACTCGGGGACTGGCGCCAACAAATCGGAACAATGCGTCCCTCGGGTCGGAGCTCTGAACTCATAAGCCCTCAATGAGGCAACATTAAGATCACAAAACAACTCCAGAGCCAAAAACGTCCCGAACACTCGGGGACTGGCATCGAAAACTCAAGGCCATGTGACCTCCGGGTCGGAAACCCCGAAATCATAAGCCCTCAATGAGGTAGTACTAAGATTACAAGTAACGGCTCCCGAGCCAAAAAACCCTCGATGACTCGGGGACTGCCGCCAATCACCATCCCCATCGACTTATCAAAACCCGAGGCCACAAGACCACATGCGGACAGCCTCTGTCCCATAAGACCTATATAAGGCAACAACAATAATTATAAGACCTCAAAGGCATGTAAAGTCTGTAAGACCTCAAGCAAGGCATGAACCACACTTGTACCAAGTGACAATAATTGTAAGACCTCAAAGGCATGTAAAACTTGTAAGACCTTACTAAAGGCATAAACCCAATCCAAAAGTTAAGGCTATATATTGAACTTGTAAGACCCCTAAAAAGGCATACCCTTGATATAGACGCCGAAACTACTTCACTCGGCGACTCAAAGGCTCTGGCCAAATGCAATGACTACGGTCACAAGGCTGTACCAGCCAAACTAATGCGACTCGGGGACGCTCGACCGTCGCTAAAAGAATCACAGGCCTTCAATTACTTCGAAAATACTTCGAAAAAAACCGGTTAAACAGGCTACCCTCGACATAGGAAAAGGAGCTTCGACCACGTCAGCTCCTAATTACAGGCTTCGAGACACTCAGCCACCGAGCCAAACCTCCCTAAGTGCTCGATCATCGCCATACAAGTGACTCACAATCGAGGTTTTTATCAAACCGTCGAAGAGTCAGGCAAACACAATTCCAAAAATCCTTAACGAGGGAAAAATTAAGCCTATATAAAAGGTCGTACCAACCCAATGTATAAGAGCATTTGTCGCCAGCCCATACAAAAGGTCGTACCGACCAAAACTCGTAAGAGCCTAAGAGTCGGCTTTAAATTCAAAAACTTGAGGGTCAAATGAGATCGAGTCGAAAATCGACTCGGAGACTGAACCCAAAACTGTTAACTAAATATACCTAAGGGCAAAAGCATAAGAGCTCAAATGCCGGCTTATATTAAAAGGTCGTGCCGACCGAAGCGCATAAGAGCCTACGGGCCAGCCCAATGAGCCCCAGGGCCATACTATGGATCTAAGGATTACTTTCAAACCAAAGACAAATTCATCCGGCTAACAACCGACAAATATCAAGGCAAAAGAAATGCGTGAAAAACAAAAAATACCAGGCTTCCTTTTATACATGTATCCTAGGGAATACCAGCTTCATTTACAAAGTTCTCTGAGAACACTACATACAAAATCAGAAAAGGAAAGGCTTAATCTACGCCACCCCTCGAGGACTACGACCCGTCCGCCTGTTTCTCGCCATCCTCGGCATCGGACAGAAGGGACTTAGCGTCATGTTCAGTCGCCTTCTCCTGTCTCACCTCTTCCGAGAGGTCAAAACCCCTAACATTGATCTCCTCGAGGGTTTCCCTTCGAGAGTTGTACCGTGTATACTCCAAGCTCCTGCTCTCGCGTTCGAGAACCCTTCTCAGCTCATCTCGAGAATCGACAGCATCCTTCAAATAGACCGCCACTTTCTTATCAGCCTTAGTTTGGCTCATTACGGCTTCGACCCGGGCATCCACAACTTCGGCTTTTATCTTCAAAAGCTCGACCTCAAGCTCTGTAATCATATCCTTTTGGACCAAACTGTTCTAGCGGGCTAAGCGGAGTCGAACCTCGAGGTCGGAAGCTTTAGCCAGAGCGCCTTTTTACGCTATAGTACCTGTTCCTCAAGGTAGGTTTCGTAGTTCAGGCTTCGACTCGCCTCGCACAGCAAGCATGCCAACTCGTCTTCTCTCTCATCACAAAGAAGCCTGAGGGACTTCTCCCCATCCACGGCTTTTCGTAGCATGGCCTCACGACGAAGCAGCTCGGACATGAGCTTGTCAAAAGCCTATGAAAGAGAAACTCGACAAGAGAGTAAAAATTAGAAGACTATAAAATTAACACGGGCGGCAAAAAACTCACCTCAAAATCAGAGCCGCTGAGCTTCCTCGAAAGTTGAGTGCAAATCTACTAGTTCGGCTCCGTCTACCCCGGTAGAACCCCACCCAATGGGGACATGATCGCTCAGTGTATGCGGCTCCTGGTTTCGAACATCCCTCGAAGTACCTTCGAGGGGGGAAGACACATCCTCGCCGAGCCCCAGGCATGGACTCATCTTGCTGAAAGCACTGTCACCCTGTGCAAGCCCTTTTTCCTTATTATTATCGCTCCGTAGCCCAGAAGTTGGCGATCCTTCTCCCCCTCCAAGAGGGCACGGTCTTGCCCCGAAGGATTCCCCAATGCCTAGGGTGATGGGGTTAGTATGCGTAAAAAGAAAGTGCCCTTAAAGGAGCAAATCGTACAGCGCGTACCATGGTGTTTGGCCTCCCATCTGCCCTTAGACAAAACTCGCCACTTATGCTCATTATAAGTCGAGCGAGTCGCCAGTTTTCGAGCCTAGTCTGTCAGGTCGGGAACCTCGTACGGCGTCCATGAAATTGCTGCAGAAAGGGAAAGGAAGGCGCATTTACGGAACCTGCCTATGCCACAAGCAAAACTACGAAGGCCCAAGTATATACTTACGTATAAATTTCCATTCCTCAGGGAATGGCAGAAAGTCCGCAGGGATAATATTAACGGTCCGTACTCGGACGAATCTGCTCATCCACTCCCAATTTCCATCTTCTTCATCATCAACAACGAAAGGTGTGGTGGATCGGCATCGTAAGGTTAGCAGACCTCGATGGTGAAAAGCCGGTACAACCTAATAAGATGACTGAGCGTGAATTCAAGCCCTGCTTTCTCCGTAAAAAACCTCGTCATCAAAACTATCCGCCAAAATGACGGGTGAATCTGCGCCAAGGTAACCCAGTATTTTTGACAGAAGTCAAACACAACCCTATCAGGGGGGCCTAGCGTGAAGGGCTACGTGTATACGTTCAAAAACCCATCAGCATGATCCATGATGCTCTCTCCCAAAGTACCCGCAGTACTACCTTTTCCCCCCATCCACAGTCTTTCCTCACTGACTCAAGGTGCCCCTCTCCTACTAAAGAAACAAACTTCGAAACATACTCCCGATGACCCCAAGCATTTTGGTTCAAAAAGCCTTCAAGGGCAGAACTCCCCTCTCATCACCGAGCGGACCTTGGTGTGGCAGCCATAACTGTGGTTAAACTAGAAAATCCGAGCAAAGCCTTCAAAGTTGAAATAGTGAAAGCCTTAACACAGGAAAGGAAAGCTCTATAGAGAAGGATGACTACTCGGAATAGCAGAATCCTCGAAAGAAAAAATACAACTCTATATGTGGAGAAAGCAGCGACTATCCGCCTTCCTCCAAGGCCAATTAAAGACGCTAACTGAGACATTTCTCGCTTTGGGAAAATGTGCCAACGGAATTGCCTTGGTCATTTCGTAACCATGTCATACACTTGACGCCGCCATATGATGTTTTGGGGTCAGAGACCCCCGCATCAACCAAGCCTCGAGATGGTACCCGATCTCGAGGACCCCCGTCAAAAAGAAGATAGGCTCCGGGAAGCAATTGGCATCATTACAAGTCCCAAGATGGCACCCGATCTCGAGGACCTCCGTTAAAAAGAAGATAGGCTCCGGGAAGACATTTGCATCATTACAAGTCCCGAGATGGTACCCGATCTCGAGGACCTCCACCAAGAAGGGCATATGCTCCAAGGAGCCATTGACATCATCCTAAGCCTCGAGATGGTACTCGATCTCGAGGACCTTTCTCAAAAGAAGATAAGCTCTAAAAATCTACTAATATGGGCTTGGCCTCGAGGTACTATCTAAACCTAGGTAGGCCCCCATCCGAGATCTATCTGCAATGCCTTAAGGCTATCTACACTGAGTTCAAAACAAGCTTCCAGGTAGCCCGAGCTTGAGCGAAGCCCCGCTCGGGGACTGCTCCCGAAAGCCTTAAGGCTATCTTTATTCTCACAACTCCGAGTAAATCCCCCCGTCGAGGACTATCGCGGGGCCAAATGGACTAAGTCTCATATTAAAAGTTCGAAGCCCTACACTCCTTCAACTCGAAGTCGAGGATCCCGACGGCCCGAGTTTATTAATCCAATCCGGGCTCAGTCCAAGGAACAAGAAAGGGTTCTACGAGGAATCGTGTTAATAAATCAAAGGTCAGAAGAAACACTAGCACCTGGGCTCGATATTCGCACCGATTGATGGAATCATACAATCAGATTCTTCACAGATGCAGATAAAGATAAATGAAGCATAAATCAGAAGCAAATCGAAGAAACACCTTTTTCATTAATGAACGACGATTACAAAGCCCACGAGGGATCCTTACATGTGATTACAATAGCCCGTGAGGGGTCCTTACATAGAAACAAAGAAGCAAAAAAGTACATACAATGAAAGCCAAGAGTCTAATCTATTCTCGGGGGTGTATCCTCGGTGGCAGTATCTTCGAGCACCGTCTCCTCGGGAATCATATCTCCGGAAGCCTGATCTCGGCCGCCCACCAACGGCGTCTCGAAGGACGAGGAAGAAGCAGAGAAAGATGAAGAAAAAGCCGTACCTCGCCAAAGAGAAAAAGCTCCTACCAGGCCGAGAAAATTACAGCCTGGTGGAAGACTTGGTGGGCGTAGGCCTTGCCTACACAGCTACTTTGAGTCCACTTCTTGGAACATTGTGCCGTACAGGTTATGGTAGTGCCGCTTTATCCCATGGAAAGCGAAAAGGATGAAGTGCCATAACAGGCCGGAGTAGGGAGGTGAGCAGTGGAGTAAAGTCCGAATGCCCTTCTGAGCAGCGGTGTAGAATCCGAATATCTTCCTGAGGGGTAAGAAATCGGTATCCCTATTTCATCATCTCGAGCCAGCGACGACAACAGTACCAACATCAGCAATAACAACAAGAAGTTAGTGTGATCCCATTCGGAGGGAGATAGCTCCGAGAAAGAGGCATGGCATGACTTATGAAAATGTTGCCGTATGGCCTTATGGCCACAATTTTCAAACATAAGAAACACGGATGGATGAGGATGAAAGGAAGGAAAGAGTAGAAGGGTAATGGAATGAAGTTTGGGTTCAAGAAACCCCCATTTATAGGAATGTGGCAGCATAACCGACAGCAATCAATGGCTTTTTGAGAAACGTATCGTCAGACGCAATCGATATTTTCTTTGGGAGACGGATCGGCGGCAGTATTATTACTTTAGAGAAATGAACTGACGGTGTAGTAAGTGTTCCTGGGAATGACGCGCCGATGGCACGTCTCAGACATCGCAAAAGTTGATGTCATACACGTGACGCCGTCACAAAAAGTTCGAAAAGATGGATATCAAAGTCGTTTCTTATCGTTCCACTCTAAGAAACGCGGGGACTATTTGTATGCGGTAAAATCGGAGGGTCCAATTTTCGGCCATTACCACGCTTCGTAAGCAAGCTTTCCAAAGGCTCGAGAATACGGTCGAGATTTACACGCGAGGGGCCATCGATGTCCAACCTCGACACGGTACAAGCCGACAGTTATGATAGAAAAGTGGGAAGTCCCTAAGCGTACAACTAGAGCTGACAAAGTCTAGTAGGCTAGCTCTGATCCGTATCATGGCATTAAATGGTCGTATCAGCCCCATATCTTTGTAATTAATGCATTTGTACTACGTTGGGAGCCCCCCCCCCCCCCATATATAAAGGGGATCCTTGTCATTTTGTAAGGATCTGATACTCAATATTCAATACAAGAACATTCTCTCTGCTCTCTAACATATTCTCTTGATCTCATTACTTCCATTTATTGATTACATTCATTGTGTTCCGTTTATTGTTCTTCATTTATCGCTTATCATTGGCCATAAAGAGCCGTCATTGAATTTATTATAACTGTTAGCCTCTCCATCGACTGCCTACGGCAAAGTATAGGGCTCGACCCCGAGGCCTTATAAACGGCAGCTCGAGGCCCCGCTTATCAGCCTATTGGTTCGGTTATCACCTTGTTTTCAAGCTCTTATCTCGTTTTCTAATCTCTCAGTTAACATCTATTGCCAAAACAACTAGCATAAAAATAGATCACGTATGTTTAGAACCACAAAATCAAATATAATTGTAATTACCATTTTCAAGGTAAACAACTTTTCTTAAAAACCAATAATTTTCAGATTTTAAATTTTAATAAAAATTCATGACTCGGGATAGGGACCTCCGAATCCGATTTCGGGAAAACGCCCATATCCCATATTTTGACACGGACCCACTGGGACTGTGAAAACACGAATCTGGGTCCGTTTAATAAAAGTGTTGACCGAAGTCAACTCAAATGTAGTTTTTAAGAAAAAATCCTTATTTTATCAACTTTCAACACAAAAGCTTTCGGGAATCACGCCTGGACTGCGCACACAAATTGAGGAGGGATAAAATGAGGTTTTAAAGGCCTCGAAACACCGAATTTGATTTTAAATCATAATATGACCTGTCGGGTCATTACAATCCGAAATCAACCCAAGGCCCCCGGGATCTCAACCAAATATACCAACAAGTCCTAAAACACCATAAGAACTTAGTCGAGCCCTCAAATTACATCAAACAACGCTAAAATCATGAATCACCCTCCAATTCAAACTTAATGAACTTTGAAACTTCAAACTTTTACAACTGATGTCGAAACCTATCAAATCACATCCGATTGCCCCGAATTGTGCACATAAGTCATAATTGACATTACGGACCTACTCCAACTTGCAGAAACATAATCCGACCCCAATATCAAAAATCCACTTTTGATCAAACTTCCTAAGAATTCGATTTTTGCCATTTCATGACTAAATCAGCTACAGACCTCCAATTCACATTCCAAACACGCTCCTAAGGTCCAAAATCTCCCAACGGAGCTAACGAAATCGACGAAACTCCATTTTGGAGTCGTCTTTCCACTGTTCTAACTACGACCAAAATCCTAAGACCTAAGCTTCCGTTTTAGGGGCTAAGTGTCCCAAATCACTCTGAAACTACAAACAAAACTTCCCGGCAAGTCACATAAGGAGAAAAAGATACGGGGGAAGCAGTAAATAAGGGGTCGGGGCCATTACTCTCAAAACGACGGGGCGGGTCGTTACAACCTAAGATTTTGTGGGTGCATATGACCAAATAAATAATGTTCATTATTCCGTCATGACCATTCCTAATTTTTCGCATTTTAAGACCATTAAACAAAAATTCATGACGATTCCTACTTTTATTGTCCACACCATCTTCATGAATTCGGGCGACAGGCTCCAAAACACCAAATACTTTTAGGTCCCTCAAAATTGGCCTAATAAGCAATAGTCATCGCTTCGCCGTGACCGTTTTCATTATTTGGTGTTCTAGGACCATAAAACAGGAATTCAGGATGATTTCTTTTTTTTTCTCATATGCGAATCGCCTAAAATTTTGTGTACCCATCAGAAACGACCTAATGAACAATAGTCACTGCTTCGCCGTGACCGTTCCTCGTTTTTTGTGTTTTAAGGCCATAAAATAAGAATTGAGGACGATTTCCAATCTTTCGTATGCTATTACACCACCTTCATAAATTCAGACGATAGACTCTGAATCACCTAAAATTTTATGGGGCCATAAAGAACGATCTAATAAACGATAGTCGTGTAATATGTGATGGTCATTGATGGTGAGCTACACTAATGAATAAATGCCTTTAAAAAGAGCATTTAATGATGGGTTACCAATTGTAATACTTTTGGGCTTGGAACATTTTGGGTCAATGTTTAGAGGGTTTTACCTTCCTATGCACTATTTAAAACCTTATTACTCTTCCTACTGAAGTTTCAATTTAATTACATAGCCATATACAATTTACCAATTATATACAAATAAGTTTTAAATGAGTATCTCTTTATATTAGGAATTGAATAAGGAANCAATTATTTCCTTATCCCTTTATACTTGCCTCTCTCTCTCTCTCTCTCTCTCTCTCTCTCTCTCTCTCTCTCTCTCTCTCTCTCTCTCTTAGTGTCTCTCTCCATCTCTCTATCCCTCTCTCTCTTTGTCTCTGTCTCTGTCTCTGTCTCTGTCTTCGTCTCTCTATCCCTCTCTCTCTTTGTCTCTGTCTCTGTCTCTGTCTCTGTCTTCGTCTCTCTACTCTCCTTCTCTGTTTTTTCCCCAATTTTTCTTCATTTGATGCTCTATGTTTTTCTATATTTCTTGTTGTATAGAGTTTTAATGGATTTCATCAATGAATTTCAATCGTTTTAACTTAGCAATTTCCTTTCATGTTACACAATTGTTGTTCAAATTGAAATTGTCAATCAATAAATTTTGAAGGTGTTTGACTCTCCACCATTAACAGCCATTAAAAAGCTTTGAAGCTTTGAATTCGAATTTGGATTTTCAAAAACCATTATTTGTTAAGATTGGGTGTTTTTGCAAATAATTGAGAATATTGTTTGGAGTTTATATATCAATTTGGAGGGTGTCTGGTGAAAATAAGACTTGATTTTGGCTGAATTTCAAATTGAAACTCGAAGAAGAAGAAGAAGAAGAAGAAGAAGTACAATATACTTACATAATTGTAGGTAAATTGTATTCAGTGTTAGTTATATATATATTTTTTATTTGAATGTTGTATGAAGATGAAAAATAGTTGTATAATGTAAGAATCGTTGTTTAAAATTTATATTTAAGATATTAATACAATCTTTTTACATAAAGTTATTGATAAGTATCAAAATTATATTAAGAGAGTAAGTTTTGATTGGAATTTTAGAGAGGAAGAAGCACACACCACAGACAAAAATTTGTACAAATCATATGCAAAATATATACAAAGACATATTGTATAAAAATTGTATTTAAGTTGTATGATATTGTAGTTGTATATAATTGGGTAGAAATAATGTCTGAAAGTTGTCGATAAGTTGTATAATATATAATTGGTTGTATAAAATTTATTTTTACTATGTATAAATCAGATACAAAATATACAGAAGACATATTGTACACCATTTGTATAAAAATTATATGATATTGTAGTTATATTTAACTGGGTAGAAATAATATATGAAAGTTGTAGATAAGTTGTAAATAAGTTGAATAATATATAATTACTATGTATAAATCAAATACAAAATTTACAAGACATATTGTATAAAATTTGTATGAATATTATATTTAAGTTGTATGATATTGTAGTTGTATTTAAGCACACACCATAATTGTATAATACGGTTTCAAATCAGACACCACAGATATCTCGATTATGATGAGAAATATCAGGCGGAGAAACTAATAAGCGCAGAAAATGTTGTCACGGAAAAACATGGCCGATATAAAGCATCTACATAGATTCCACAAAAAGTAACTTTTGCAACTCTCAGTCCCATATATTTTCCTCAATTCTTGTAATTGTTTTCTCCTCTACCATTTGCTGGTCTATTTTCACTCTAGGAATATCTATAAAAGATTGTTTATCTCGAAAAATACGAGTAGCATTTAAATTTAATTTGTGGTTTTAAAGATATGTGATTTAGTTCAATATCGATTAAGAAACAAGAAATATGAAGTTGAAATGAAAGATAGAGATGAATCAAACCAATATTACTTAGCAGTAGTGACCTCGAGACGATGACCTCAAGGTGGCTTGGGGCAGTAAAAACAATTAAATAGAGAAATCAAAGTAAGAACAATTAAGCTAAGGAACAATTCTGATTAACAGCAGACAAAAACTAGAAAGTATATTCTTTGCTCAGTG